CTTGGTGTTCAGGTTGAGATAAAGAGCATCTATATTTCCATTGAAGTTCATAGTCATCCGCTGATGTCCGTCAAGTACTATGTTAACCATTGCTTTTAGCTTTCTCTCTTGAGTCTTTGGAGGTGGTTTCAGTTAGTAAGAAGATCCATAGGTTATGTTTTTGTTGTAGGGCCTCTGTTGCTGTGAATCCTGGTTGTAGTTACCCTTCTAACTATTGCCATAGGAGTTTCTGTTGTAGCCTTCCCAGATCTTTGGAAAATGTTTCCACCAATGTAATTCACATCCTTTTCTTAACTTTCAGCATCTCTGGCTTCCTCCACAATTCACTTGTTTCTTCAGTAGTTTATGAACATCATCCAGCCTTGTCCTAACATCAACAAAATGATCCCTGCTGAGTGCTGGGGCCAATTTCTTCCTCTCATAGTCAGTGTTCTTGGTATTGTTGCAGGATTCCAGATTCTCAATAAGATTTGTAACCTCTTCTGGACTTCTGGTGACGAATTTACCCTCACTAGCTGTGTATAGGGCCATCTGGTACTGCAGATCAATACCTCTAAAGAAAGTGGTTAACAGCTGTACTTCATTAAATCCATGGTAAGGACAGTCGCACTGGTAGGAATTGAATCTGGTCCGGGAGCTCTTGAAAGACTCTGCATGCTCCTGTGTGAAAGTGGAAATCCTGCTCCTCAGCTCGCGCATCACCAAAGAAATTTTACAGGAAGGTATTCTATGTCAACCCAGGATGTCAGAGATCCTGGTGGTAACTGCTTAAACCAATAAGAAGATTCTCCAGAAAGTGAGTACTTGAAGAGCTTACTAAGCAAATAGTCCTCAGAGACTCCATTGGCTTTAATAACATATACTTGATCGTCAAACCTCTCCACATAATCCATAGGATGCTCATGCTACTTCCCATGGTAAGGTGTTTGCACCACATGTGCAAAGAAAGAAGGCTTGATCTCAAAATCATACCTCTGAAAAGCCTGAGGTTGAATGATGGATCTGTTGGCGTATTACTGGTCAGGAGAGTTGTAGTCTGCCAGTGTCCTTGCCTGAGCAGCATAGGCATTAGCTTAAGGGCTCAGGGATTTGAGCCCCCTTATCATTTATCTTCTAACCTACTACATTATGCAAGTGACCTTAAAGATCACGCAGGTTCTGATTCGCATCCCTTATCAAAACGATTAGAGCAACCATTTGGACTCGTGGTTCACTGTCGATATATGGTACGTCGGTGTTGTCGATCGATGAGGAACTGAAAGAACTGTCGGTTGACAAACTGTCACGAGCGTCGCTCGATGCTTGTTGCTTCTCTTTGGGGATTAAATGTTTGATTGCAACGGGTCTGAGAAAAGTAACTCTTGATTCTTTTTGCTTCTGGTACTACTGAGCATCGATATCAGTACTGTAAAAATAAAAAGAAACCTAGACTAAACCTAGAAAATGGCGAACTAAGCTCCCCGGCAACGACGTCAAATTTGACAAGGCTGCATTTCAGGGTGTTATAATTCCTAATCCACTCTATCAAATTATCCTATGAAACTCAACTAATATATACTCTTGCCAAGAGAGATCAAATGAAGTGCTTAGGGATTGAATCCACAGAGAGCGAAGACACACAATGGATTTATGAGATCCTACTGGTTAAGCTAGGTAAAATAATTATAGAGGAGTCCAGGTTTGAATAAAAAGGGAAATTGTTTAAGTTTAAGTTAATGCAAATAAGGAAAATAGCCAGATCTAAGGTTTAGATACGTGAATTATAATGGATAGGGTGCAAGTAAATCTAATACACGAAGGATCAGTCGCCTACAAATATGACTTTCGATCGATGGTGAAGCCCCAATATTGATCGATGGTTACGACAAATTGAATTCTACTAGAATTCGTCGACCATCCGTCACATGCATCTAACAACCCTAGCTCAATTAAAGATATGATCAGGCAAAGAACCTACTGTCGTAGTTGTCTATGTCCTAAGTTCAGGATTTAGTTAGCTACTTTAAATCACATCCATTAAGAACTATCTGAATCAATTGGTTGTAGTTTTTTAGCAATCCTATGTTTGGGCTAATTCATTAAATACTACAGAACCCTAAATTTAACAAGAAGAACTACTCATAGATAATCAAGCAAACAAAAACGATAGTCTGAATAGAATCCATAGATAATAACTTAGCTTCCAATATAAAGCTGTGGAAGAAGTTTTGATCTTCTCTCCAAAATGATTTAAGAAACTATGAAAACAAAGTGTGGCGGTGATTGGTTCTCTCTTGCCTAACAATGGAAGAAACCAAAATAAACTAGTTAAAACCTCGTCTGTGGGGTAGTCTTGTAATTTTGTGGACTTGGGCCTTTAAGTTGGTATAAAGTCTGGTTTGTGCGCATAGACCATCGATCGACGCCAGGGTGGCCCTGTCGATCTCTTATGTCGACTCTCACTTAGCTGATTCTTGTCATCTACGGGTTTCTTCAACCAAAATGCACCATGTACTCCACGTAACTCCATAACGTACCTAAACCTGTAAATACTCAAAAACATAGTATAGACACACATAATAGACTACAAATGGTGTCCATAACATGACCTAAACCTGGTAAATAATAAGGTATATCAATGTATGCCACCTCATTTTATTAAACTCAAATCACCTTTTCAAACACTGTTTTCACGTGCTCTAAATTTTTCCAACAATCGATCTTTTGGGGTGTCTTTATTTTCCTTGGACCATACGATATGCATCGAACAAGCTCGATGATCGTTCAAACCCTGTGTATTTATAGGATACTATGTTTGGCGAGCACATATTTCTGTCTCGATCACCAAACATCAAGAATATACACCTCCAAACATGTTATTTCTCATGAAATGTTTTTCCTTCCAATGTTGTAAGAACTAATACATCTAATCCTCAAGGCAGTGCATTCAGAAAACACAACAGTCATAACACCTACTATAACATCCACACATTGGTCAAACCACTGGAGAAACCTTCATTAGCAATAACGACATTACAAGTGCAAGACAATATTCATGACATTGCCACCACGCTACCACCAGTTTATGTGGCAGAAAATACAACTACAATCACAACATACTAAAACCCACGCTAAGATAACACAATAACACAACCACTAGTTGAACAAAAATAACGTCTGGTGCACCAACCATATATCAGCCACATATGAGAAAAATTGCAAACATTTGGAGAAGCTCAATCTTCACACAACAGTTTGACAGTTGAAAGAACTATCACCTAATATTGCTGTACATGCTCTTAATTAAAGACAAAGATTAGTACATCTAAGATTTGGATCCATGACCATAAGTTCTAAATTGACCACTACACCACCCAACGTTTATTTTATCACCCATGTTCAAAAACAAGTCCACCATGACCGTTTAATCCCCGATTAAACACAGATCGCTCTTTCACCGTAGAGATTTGGATAAAACGTTTAAAAACTCGGAAACATAACAAGAACTTAGTTTTTTCTAAATTTTAAGCTTAACATCATGTTCTAGGATAAAAATCTATCATAACTGGTAAAGAATCGTAAAGAAACAAATTAAAAATGATAAGATTTGGGGGGAAAACATAAAGGCGACAATTAGGTTCTAAATTCACATACTTTGAAGAAGAAGACAAGGGAAAAATCGTAATTTCAATTCATTAAAGAGATATAGAAAATCAACAAAAAAACTAGTCATATTGTTTGAATCCACAACCTATTAGAATTGTATAAGAGAGGAACCACTGGATCACACACATTTTACATTATATAATTTACATACAAGTATATATACCAAAAACTAATCCCGATTAATCTCTAATTTTTCATTAATTCGTTAGACGTGAACCGGCTGCCCGATTAGTGTCTAGCATAGTTTTGAACATGGATTATCAGTAAATAAACAATATATATAAATAAATTTTGATAAATATTTTTTTTCTTTTAACTTCACGTATCTCCTAATTAATTTATATTTTCTGTTAACTCATTTAATCTGAATTAATGCATTCAATAAGGCTATCGCTTTTCCAAACAAAGGGAATAACCAATTAAAAATTAATTCAGTTATTGTTTTGGTAGTGGTTGTTTTACTCGGGTAGCTGCAATTTGAGAAATGTTTTTCGCAGCAGTATTTTTATATATCAACTAATATAGTTCAAATGAATAATAAACTATTTAATACTCCCTCCGTTTCAATTAAATTATCATTCTAGAGTCTTGCACACAGATTAATAAAACAATTAATTTTACATATTTTTAAAATAAAAACACAATTACCTATACACCTAACCACTTTTCAACCAATGAAAAAATAGAATAACGTTTAAAATCAATAAATTTTGCATTGAAATTATAAAACGACACTTATTTTGAAACGAAAATTTTACTCTAGAATGACATATAATTTGAAACGGAGAGAGTATTAATTATTTATCAGATGTTGACTTTCTGGTATTTATAGATACATTTCATGGAAAATGTGGAACACATGTCTCTTTAGTATTTCTTCTCCTTCTTTAACTATGAGTATGCGATTATTTAATTGGACTTGAAGCAGACTCGAACATCATCAATAGCAACAAAAAATAAGTAATAGAAAACAAATCTTATCTGCTGGAGAGAGAATATAGTAATTGTTTGACCACATTTTATAGATTTTAAAGAAAACAAAGTATATACTACTCTTTTAGAATCATTCAAAACCCTTTATATTCCCTTGAAATGCTTAAATATTTGAAAAACCCCAAGAGATCAGGTGACGTGTGTTATATAGTACTTTAATAAATAAGTGAGCTCGAAGGAAAAATATATTGGAAAGGCAACTAAACCCTTTCCGTTGACAAACTGAATAAAACAAACATACCAGATCACCAATAATAAGCTTGAAAAGATATGTTTATTTATCAAGGAATATATTATAAAAACTCAATTATTAGACCATGACTTCGTATATGGTGGAGTAAGGGTAAATGGAAAAGTTAAGCCCGCCCTCTTCTAATTGTTAATGTCTTCAAAGTAAACATATGTCTCTTCTTTCTCAATCAAGATATTCTCTATATAAGAGATATTCAAGAAACATATAACTACAAAGCAAAGGTCAAATGAAAATCGTGGCCTGACCCATAAGCATCTTCGCGATTCTGGATCCTGACCTTCTCATAAGAAGAGTCCTATGATGGAGAGTCCGATAATGAAGACATGGAGAAAAATAAAGACTTTTGGGCAAACGCGCTCTTCAACCACAGCTTCGTTCACCAAGAGCAAGTCTTGGAATGGCGCTGCTTATCTCGAGGGTACCAAGAACAGCGAATCCATAGGAAAGATCAAGAAAAACTGTTTCACTGTTTATGTGGGTCCCGCGAAACAGAGAATCGTGGTGAAAATGAAACTGTTGAACCATCCTTTGTTCAAGAACTTGTTAGAAGACGCAGAGAAAGAATATGGATATAGACGTGATGGGCCCATTGTTCTTCCTTGTGAGGTTGATTTCTTCTTCAAGGTTTTGGCTGATATGAAATCCGATGTTTATGGTAATGATTGTGATGAAGATGATGATGGTTTGATTACTCCTCCGATTTGCGGGTTTGGTAGTCCAAGCATGAGACGGAACCGCTCGTACAAGCTTCTTCGATCTCCATCTTTGTTCAAGCTGAATAGATTTTGAATTTCCTTTTTTTTCTTTTCCACTATATTAGATATCTAAGTTCTTGTTCATACCATTACCATATGCATATACGTTTTAAACTTGAGAAGAGAAATGTGACGCAAAAAAAAAACCTCACATTTCCGAATGTAACAATTTGCTTAGACAACTTTCCATTATATTTTTCTGTGATTCTGATGTCGCCTTATATAAGATTTGACAAGATGTTTTTATTGTGATTTACTGATTTGTATCTTAATATACCATACATGTGAATGTTTTTAGATGAAGCAGATTTTGAATAAGCATGGATATTTTTTATTATTTTTTGGACAACAATCGAATCTGATTTAGCAAAAACTGAATTTAAAACAAAGCTGGAGTAGTATTGCTCCAAGTAGATCTATTAACTTTTGAAAAATGTATGAATTGTGTTATAAATATAATGAGTATTAGAGAACAACCTTATCAAAGGTTCAAATGGGATTCACACGTTTTAAAAAAAAAATTACTAAGATAATGAATAGTATAGAACCTGTCCTTTGCAAATTCCTCGTAGTGAACCCAGTGCTTCATCACTGTAGTACGGAACTCACGACACATGGCGGTTCGCCATTAGTCCAATTATTAATTTTTTTTCAAAGTAAACAAACATAAAAATAAATTTTTTGAAAAAATCACGTGGCGAACCTCACTTCAGATTTGCTAATGGTGATACTCTTACATAGCTTTATAAATCATTACAAGAAGCACTCTGCCTTGATTAAAAACACAATAAATGTAACAAACGAGAACAATTGAGTGAAACTTAAATAATAGAAGATAGGACATAAAGCTCTAAATGAAGAGTTATTATTGGGTTCATCACCCTTTATGGTGAACCTCTCTGTTTACCAATTAATAAGATAGTGTTATTTCATAGTTGATATCTTTTTAAAAGAAAATATTTTTTTGTTAAATTATATTATGTTTTTAAAATAAAAAATAATAATATTTACAAAAAACGAAAAAAAAATCTTTAAAAAAATATATTTTAACACTAAAACACTAAATCCTAAAACCCTAATCCTAAACCCTAAACTCTTGGGTAAATCATAAACCCTTTGGAAAAATCTTAAACATTAAATCAAAAATTAATACTAACCAATTATACCGTTTTTTATTTATTTTCATCTTTTAATTTTAAAAATATAAAATATAATGTAACAAAATTTTATTTTCATTTTACAGATATATTAAAGATGTTTTTCTAATTGTTTGCAATTATTACTGTTTTTCTTTTATTTTTATCTTTTTATTTTAAAACATAATATAATGTTAAAATAGTTTTTTAAAAGATTTTTTTCATTTTTTAATATTATTATTTTTTATTTTTTATTTTATTTTTTCTATTTTTTATTTTAAAAAACATAATATAACTTAATAAGATTTTGTTTCTTTTTTTTTTAAAGATATCTAATAGAAAATAACTCCTAAATGAAAGCTAAGGAAAACGTGTTATATTGAGTTTGATCGGTGGATAAAAACTTACACAAATAACCTGCTCTGATACCATATTAACTTATGAGAAATATATGAATTGTGTTATTAGTATAATGAGCGTTACAAAGATTTATATAGTAGAGCTATATGAATCAAACAATTAACGAGAAGATCATATAATCATTAAGGAGAATATATGATGGAGTGATTATTGTGATTGAGTGAATCATATGAGTTACTAGTGGTTGGCCCGCCCTACGGACGGGTGAATTTACATTAAAACTATAATCTGAAAATTAAGCTGAACTAAACCGTGTATAGAAGTTTTCTGGAATTTTTTTTAATGTAATTGTAAATCAAAAGGTGTATATTAGGCATGTGTGTTTTTACCTCTATCCGAAGAACCAACCTTAACCCAAACTGGAAAAATCGAAACCAAATCAAAACTGTTTTACAAAAATATCCGAACGAGACTTATAAGCTTACTACTTTGGATTTTGGTTATAACCCGAACCAAACCAAAATCCGAATTAGGATCTGAAGATATCCGAAATTAATTAAATATGGTAATGTTTTTATATATGTTAAGGTGATTTAGATATTTTAGAGTACTCACAATATTTTTTTAGTTTGTTTTATTTGTTATTTTGAATACTTTTTAGTTAATTTAGATACTAATTTTTGATTAGATTTGTAAATATTTTCTATATTTTGAATTTTTTGTAAGTTTTCGAAGTTTTAAAAATATATTTTTGGACGGTTTTAAACATTGGTTAAATCCGATCCGAACCGAACCCGGAATGGACCAAACCAAATCTGATCCAATAATTAATAAAAACCGAATGGTACATGTGAGCATAACTTTGAAAATCTAAAAATCTGAATCAGCCGAACCGAAATTGAATAGACCACCGAACGCGCTGGCCTAGTGTATATCTATCTTTGATTAGGACACGTTTAAGTTAATTTTTAAAATGGAAGGATGTTATTGAATAGTCCAATGAACTCTCAACTACCGTTGAATAGGTTGACAACAAAAATTCTCATTGAATAATAAGCCGATAATGTTTTTGGGAAAGAAATAAATCATACAGTATGTTTTAAATAAATTTTACAGTTAATTTAGGGATGTTATATTCTTTTAGCTACTATTCAGACTCGCTAATATCAAAATCATGCCTCTTCCTTCCTCTCACTGCTTATTTATTCATCATGGTTGTTATGTACTTCTTCCAAACCATGTTCGTTGTAGGGTCGACTATTTTCTTGTAACTTTTTAAGTTTCTTGTGTATTGTCACTCTCAAGTCTCAACTTCAAACTTAGAAGAGACTTCTTTTGATGCTGCTGTGTTTATTTGTAACTTCCTTGTTTCTTCTCTCCAATGTCACTGTCATGTCAGAGCTGCTAGAGCCAATTTCATTGTCACTCTAGTGTTTACATGCCATAGCTTTTTTTCGTAGTGTGCCTTATGTGATCACAGCCATTTTCATTTGACTAAGATAAATCATCTTGTAGACCTTATGCTGACATCAAGCTAGTAAAAAGACATGAAATGGTTCAGTAAACGGATCAGAGGAACATAGAGAAAGCAGTCATATGTTGATAATCTCAGACAACCATACGGATTTTGTCAAAAAAAAATTATACAATAAAGAAATGACTTGAACGATGACATTGCTTAATCATGATTATCATAGTTATCATAAATAGTTTTCATGGTCTCAGCATCATTATGGGCAAAAGTATTAAGCATTAATAAAAGAGAAGACGTTAATAAATTTCAAATTTTACAATTCATTAAGATATAGAAAAACAAATATACCACGAACATGGTCCAGAAGGAGAAATAGTTCAACTTATTGATAATGCAAAAACTTAAATACCAAAGAATGCAACAAAGGTGTGAGATAGTTTAGAGCCCCAATCAAACCGGGTGTTAACACTTAGTCGGTGCGAGTCATCTTGGCGGAGCGCCCTTCCTCTACAGTCAGATCTTCCTCTCCATTGTAGCCAGCAGCAACAGGTGGCTCTATTGGATCATTGGCGGGCCTGTTTTGTCCTTCAGCTGTCACAGTAGCCATGTAACCGCTTGAGTCCAGGCCATTCGTGTTGAAAGCAGGTATCATTCTTGATCATTATACAATGATCAAGAACACTATAGACATACCTGCCGTGAGCTAACAAAGATAGCAAATCCATTGATCAGATTATTGTAGTTATAAAGCTTTATATATTTTTCTCTTTTTAATGTTTCTCCAAAAAGAATTATGATTTTAATCAATAGATGGTGGTCGCTTTGACTCCCCCCCCCCACCCTCCCCCTCATGAAGTTTTCTGGAATCAGTTCTATAAGAACACCAAAATGGAAGTCAATAAATTAAGGGTTTAACTAAAGCTACACAAAGAATCTAGTGAAACATAAAAATAAATAGTTTTTTTCAGTACCTTGGTTGTAACTTTGGTTTGAATTTATAAGTGTGGCGTGGCCATGCTTAGCTCTCTGGTAACTTGTTTAAGCTCTTCTTCCTCAAATAGATGAACAAACGGGGGTTCGAATTAGTGTGACAGTGTAGACAGCAGTATCATCATTGTCACCATCATCGTCCACATTCTTTCTAGGTTTTCACCTCCAAGGCGCCAACTAACTTTGGTATCTAATAACACCTTAGGTTCTACAACAGAGGCTAGCATCTTTTCATCCAAGAACTTTGCAAGACAGCCGAGTACATTCAGGCAGAAGACTGTTTTACTGAAAAATGATAAAGTTAGAGCAATGTGTATGCCCAAGTTTGCAAAAACAAAAACGTTGGACACAATTACAGAAATACAGTTCTCACATGCTTTTCAATCGTTATGGTAACCATGATGCATTGAATACTATGTGTCTCCTGGTTGAGATACCCTTAACTCCCAATAACGACAGCTTACAAAAACAACAATGAATGCAACTTTGCTGGGAGATGAATACGCAATTGATATAATAATTCTATGGGATGATAAGGCTAGCTAACATGGCAGATCAGTGTTTGTATTGGCTAGAACCATGAGTTCTTTGTAAATGTAGAACCGGAAACTTTCATGCGGAATGGGTTTAGTTGTTTCTGAATCTTCAAGGAAGATGGTTTGGTTAATTTGGTCCGTGAATCTAATAGCAGCTGGGGCGTCACCAAATTTGAAGCTTGGGCTGCTTCTCGCAACACTGGTTCATAAGCCGGGCTTCTTTCAGGAGATGTTAACATCAATAGCTTGAAACCTTAAACTAATAGCTGGAATAATGAACCTGTTTACCTTCCAATCAATGAGCAGCATATTAACTCCTAAAAGCTCGCCCTCTTTCTTCACATTCAAAGCCTCCCAAAATAGAAGCAGCCTTGTCTCAACTACTTGTCTGCATCAACTTTCCTTCAACTCTGAAAAAGGAATTTGAGAAGTCGTGATGTTCGAAGGGTTTGTGTGAGGTAGAACACAAAATCTGATTTGGCAAAGTTCAAAAGACGAATCATGGTGTCTCACGATCTAGCCTAAAGGAAACGTGAAAAAAAAAGAACTTTTCAGATGTAAACTATAGGAAACGATATCAGAAGGAAAATATAATGGAGAGGTTAACCGGAATAAGATGTTCTTACATTCTCATCAATCAGCAACATGTCAAAACTCATCAGTTCTCCGGATCTGTTGCTATTCATATTGTTGTTTCTGGCCTCCAAAAACCGGAGTAGTCGCACCTCCGTCGTGTGA